TTTGTAGGGACCGAAATATCGAGCAGCAAGCTTTAGGTTTCTCCTTAGAGCGAGTGATGTCTGTCTGTAAGGTTGTAGTTTCAGGTAAACTTCCTCTCCCACCTGGAAATCTCTCTCTGTACGATGTTTATCAACAATCTGCTTCATTCTATTACTGGCTTGCATGAGTTGTTCACGTAGTAAAGCATTGAATTGCTCTCTGTCTTTCATCATAATTTGCACTGCATCCACTCTAGAATCCCCTGACCAACTTAAAATAGGAGCCTTATAACCATATAAAGCTTCAAATGGGGTCATTTTAATAGCAGAGTGATAATTAGTGTTATACCACCACTCTGCTTGGGCTAACCACTTTGACCAAGATGTAGGTTTTAAAAAACACATACTTCTGAGATATTGTTCTAAACATTGGTTGAGTCTCTCAGTTTGCCCATCTGTCTCTGGATGATAGGCAGTACTGAAAAGTGTAGTTGTCCCCAGTTGCTTAAGTAACTCCTTCCAAAATAGACTAGTAAAAGTCCTGTCTTGGTCAGAAATAGCTACCTTAGGAGGACCATGAAGATTATAAACTTGATCCAAATATATCTTAGCAACTTGCACCACTGTGTAGGGATGGGACAGTGGCATAAAATGAGCATACTTAGTAAATTTGTCAATTACCACCAGAATACAATTGTGCTTTGCTGAAGGTGGCAACCCTTCAATAAAGTCCATTGTTATAATTTCCCAAGCATTGTTTGGAACTGGAATAGGTTGTAGTAGCCATGGCTTGGAAATGTGCTCAATTTTAGTTCTCTGGCATACCTCACATTGCTGTATATGTTCTTGAATCATAAGCTTCATCTTTGGCCAAAAAAAAATAAGCTTTAATCCTCTGATAAGTAGCTTGAATGCCTGAATGACCCCCTTGTGGTGAATCATGGGAAGCCACAATAAGTTTCTGTCTGAGATCTCCCTTGCTGCCCACATAAATTCTGTCTTTAAAGTATAACACCCCCTTCATTCTCTTCCAATCCTCCATCTTGTCAGGTTGAATAAGTAAAATAGGAAGTTTCTCTTGAGCTAGTAGATCACCTTCATAACTCTGCTCAATATCATGCATCCAAGTAGGAACAATAACAGTAACCCCCATTTACAGAAACTCACCAGAATCCATGTGTGTTGTCTAGAAAGTGCATCTGCCACCTTGTTTGTTTTACCTTTCCTGTACTGAATTGTATAATCCAATCCCAATAACTTAGTAAGACCTTTCTTCTGGATAGTAGTAGTTATCTTTTGCTCCAATAAATGCTTTAGAGGCTCATGATCTGTTTTAATGACAAATGAGCCACTCTCCAAATAATGCCTCCAGTGTGATACTGCCATTAGGATGGCTAAGTATTCCTTTTCATAAATAGAAAGGTCTGCATGCTTTGGCCCCAAAGCCTTACTTAAATAAGCTATAGGCCTTCCTGCTTGAGATAAAACAGCCCCAATTCCTTTGGAACTAGCATCAATTTCCAAAAAAAAATTTATGTTCGAAATTAGGCAAAGCCAAAACTGGAGCTTCACACATAACCTTTTTTAATGTTTCAAAAGCTAATTTAGCCTCTGGAGACCAATGAAATCCATCCTTCTTCAACATATTGGTTAAAGGTTTACTCAATTCTCCATACCCTTTGATAAATTTTCTATAATATCCTGTTAAACCTAAAAATCCTCTCAAAGCTTTCAGATTTTTAGGTAAAGGCCACTGTTGCATAGCCTTTATTTTTTCAGGGTCAGTTGCCACTCCCTTAGCTGAAATTAAGTGTCCCAAATACTCCACTTGTTGTTGGCCAAAAAAGCACTTACTCTTCTTGGCATACAACTTGTTCTTCAACAGAATTTCCAGTACCACTCTTAAATGTTTTTTATGCTCTGCCATACTAGGACTGTAAATCAGAATGTCATCAAAAAACACAAGAACAAACCTCCTTAAATATGCTCCAAACAAGTCATTCATCAAAGCTTGAAAAGTAGCTGGAGCATTAGTCAAGCCGAAAGGCATAACTTTAAATTCATAATGCCCTTGATGAGTTCTAAAAGCAGTTTTATGAACATCCTCATCTTTAATTCGAATTTGCCAATAACCAGATCTCAAATCAATCTTGGAAAAGAAAGTAGCCCCATATAATTCATCTAATAAGTCTTCTACTATAGGAATGGGAAATTTATTCTTAACAGTATAAGAGTTAAGTTGCCGATAGTCCACACAAAACCTCCAAGTTCCATCCTTTTTTCTAATAAGTAAACAAGGAGAAGCAAAAGGACTCTTACTTACTTGTATGATAGATGAGGATAACATCTGAGCAATCTGTTTTTCAACTTCAGTCTTGTGATGATGAGCAAATCTGTAGGGTCTTAGATTGACTGGTTGTGTCCCCTGTTTAAGAACAATAGCATGATCATGTTTTCTGCTAGGAGGCATCCCCTCAGGTTCCTCAAACACTTCTTTAAACTCCTCTAATAACTCTTGTAAAGATAGAGGAATTATGGTTTCCTCCATTTCAGCATGCAACAAATAAATTTCTCCCTTCACTTCAGTATCTTTTGCAATTAACTTCTGAAATTTTTCTCCAGAAATTGGTTTGAGTATTGGTAATTTCTGAGTCCCTCTAATCAGAACAGTCTGTCCATCCTTTTCAAAACTAATTGTCTTGTCCTTAAAATCCATCATTATAGGGCTAAACTCCTCCATCCAGTCCACCCCCAGTACCATATCACTGCCCCCTAAAGACAAAACTCTGAAATCATGCTGAAATTCATAGCCTTGCATCTTCCAACTCACCTTATTGCTTCTGGCAGTACTGAACAGCTTCTCTCCATTAGCTACTGTAATAACTAATGGTTGAGTCTGAACTAGTTCAACTCCTTCTTTGGCCCACTTAGGTGTCACAAAACTATGTGTGCTGCCACTATCAATCAGCACATTAAGTGGTTTTCCTCTGATACAACCTTGAATTCTTAAGGTAGTATGTCCTACATTACCTGTAATAGCATTGATAGAAATTTCCAAGGCCTCTTTTGCTATATCATTCTCTTCTCCAGTTTCTTCTTCCATCAATTCCTGATCAGCAGATTCTTCTTCTTCTTCCATACTGTTCAACTGCCTAACTTTGCACTGATGTCCAGGAGCAAATTTTTCCCCACATTTAAAACATAAATTATTTGCTCTTCTATAATCCAGTAAACTCTGTTTAGTATTGGTATTAGGTGGAATTGGCTTAGGCTGAAAACTCTTAGTCCCACTGTTCTGTTGGCTACTAGAAGAAGTATAAGGAAAACTTTGTTGAGAAAATTTATACTTCTTTCCTTCCATCTCATTAGCCAACTCATAAAGTTTGGCCTGCCTGTAAGCTTCAGACAATTTTCTGGGCTCCAACACTTTCACCTTGTGTTTTAATTCCTCCTTGAGGCCACTAATGAAACTAGAAACAAAATAATCCTCCCCTAAATGCATATGCTGTTGTAGTAAATAGGGTCTTAACTCCTCAAACTTTTCTTGATACTCTTCTACACTGCCCTTCTGCATTAACTTATTAAATTCTTCAATGATATCTGAATAGTTTCTTTCACAAAATCTATGACACAAATCAACCTCAAATTCATGCCAATTCACTCTATGTTTCTGCATAATATAGCCATCAAACCAAGTCTCAGCCTTTCCCATTAAATACATTGCAGCCACATCCAGTTTCTGTTCCTCAGGAACTCCCAAGAGATTAAAATATTTTTGGCATTTTTTAACCCATCCTCTAGGATTACTACCATCAAACATCTGCAAATCTAATTTAGGACGAGGTAAGATAGGCCCTAAACTACCAAACAACCCTTTACTGTCCACTTTAACCTCACTAGAACTGCCCCTAACATTTTCTTCCTGCAATGTCTGATTCAGAGGTATAGTACCAGTAAACCCCACAGGTTTAGAAGCTAATATTCCTGGTTCATTAGGTTGAAAAGTATACTTTTCATGCTCACTGAACCTTAATCAAACATGGCTGTTTACCTCCATTTTTGTCCTGTTTCTCAGCTGCTTTTGCTTGATTCTTCACTGACTGAGGTGAATCTTTCTCCTCAGCTGCTTGATTGACTAGCTGTAGGATCCTTTGCAAATACCCTCTATTCTCCGTCATTCCATCCTCCAACGCTTGAATCCTCCCTTCCAGCTCTTCTTTCTGCCCCGCCCACCAAGAAGGTAAAGTCTCCTCCTTAACCTCCACTGCTGATTGTTCTGGTACTTCAGTGATTCCAGTTTTTTTCATTTTTCTTGTCTTTCCCAGCGTGAAAAATTGATTTTGGATCACTAAAACTCAGCTCTGATTACCAATTGTTGTGGTTAGGGTAAGATTGTAGAAGAATTTTTTAGGGATTTTAGGAAATAGAAGAAAACAATAGATACAGAAAACGTGTAATCTCCTTTCTTAGATCCCCTTGAAAGATTTGGTACAATTTATATATGGACAATACCATACAGCTGTCAGTACAGCCAAAATAACTAACTAATTGCTGACTCATTCCTTCCAACCTTCTACTGTAGCATTTGGATCAAGTAAGACTCCTAGCCCGAAGGATCTACCCATGACTGATAAGTACTGTTGGATCAAATGTCACTGGCCCAACTATTAAATCATCATCACGTGGGTCTTTATTTCCCATTCCAGACCTGTCCATATTCCTTGCTTCATTCATCCCCTTCTCTGGTAAATGTTCAAACCCTAAATCCCTTCAATCCCTAATTTCTCCTGAATTTCCCACAATCTCGGCTGCTCCTTTCTCAATTCTTTTCCTCTATTTTCCCCCAAATCATCACCTATCAACCCTAACTCTCCTTCCATCGTGACACATTGATTTATTCTATAGGGTCGGGCACAGATACAAATTTTTGGTTTGATCCGTAGATAGATGACATATGACCACTGGTTGAGCACGTGAATACTGAGTATATATCATCGATACAACATATGTCGGTGACCTCGATGGCTGCTTCTAATGGAGACTGGAGATGGCAAGAGTTTGATTATCTTCTACCCCTGGATGTTATCCTTCGAATTACAGTAATTAAAACTCCAGAAAACAGACTGTCGTGTGACACAATTGGATGGCGATGTAACATAAATAGAACATTTTCAGTTAAACCCGCTTACAAGCTGAATGTAGGAAGTGAGTCGGAGATTCGCAATCCTCTGTGGAATGCTAATCAACGGTTCAGAGGTATTCCTCGGGTTAAAGTCTTTGTTTGGCTGGTTTGTTGTCGGAAGTTAATGACCAATGAGAAGTGATGTAAGAGTCATTTCACGTTGGAAACTACTTGCAAAGCCTGTGACACTGCAAATAAAGATGTTGGGCACGTTCTCAAATGGTGTCCTCTAGCGTTGCAGGTATAGAATGACTGGTGCTTCATTCGAAACTTGATGAATTCTTAACAATGAATCTACATGAGTGGATCGCTGCTAATATCGCTGAACCGATGAGGTTTGCAAAAAATGCTGCTGATTGAGATCTGGTTTTCGGGTATACCCTTTGGAATATTTGGCTCATACGCAATGCTATCACTTTCCAGAACCAGCCTGCCAACAACGATAGGATTATTACATGTAGCAGGCGCTTGGTGGAGCTATCAGTCAAGGCAAATAGTGAGGAAAATGTGGTGCATAGTCGGGTTATCGCTTCTGTTGATATGAATATACGATGGAATCCCCCAACATTGTATTGGATTAAGATAAATATGGATGGAGCTCGATGCTCAGCTACGGGTCATGCGTCTTGCGCTGGCGTTGCTCGGAACGACAATGGTGATTGGTGCTTTGGTTTCAACAAATTCATAGGAATTTGTTCGATTTTGGATGTTGAACTTTGGGCTGCTTATTATGGTCTCCGTTTGGCCTGGGCAGCGGGGTATCATCACATTATTCTCGAGCTTGATAGTATGAGTGCGATTCGAGTGATAAAATATGATCAACGAAATAAGCATTCACTTCGGTGGCACTTGGAGGAACTTTGGAATCGAGATTGGACTATTCAAATTGAACATAATCGGAGGGAAGGGAACAAAATAGTCGATGCTTTAGCCAAAAAAAAAGACCGTTTCAGATAATTTTGATCTTGTTTATCATGTTGATCCTCCTGTTTGAATTATCTTGCTACCTCATGAAGATAAACTTGATTTTAATTCGTGTTAATATTAAAAAGGGTACGTTTTTCCTCCACTTAGGTATAAAGAAGTTTTTAACGAGACTCTTCTAATATTTCTTAATGTTGACAATTTATGATCATATTGTTTAAAAAAAATAGGTTTTTTTTGACATTATAGAAATTTAAAATCACAAAATTGATTTAATAGGTCACATTTTCCTTTCTATTGGTTTGAGAATTAAAAAAAAATGAAACACAAATGTATACGTAGTCCATCTAACTTATAGATCCAAATTAATTTTCTCACAAATCAAAAGCCTCAGCCTTTTTATTATTTTTTTATTTATTGTTTCTTCCTTACACGCACCAAAGCAACAAGAAACAGCACAATACGAAGCTCTTTTGTTTTTTCTCCCTAGACCTTCATCAGACTTTGATCGCCGCTTCGATTCCCACCGATCCTTATTCTCTGATTAAATTACTGAGAGAAAGAGATTTATGCATGTTAATTTGATTGGGATTAAAGTAGATGGGGTACAGGAAGAAAAACATTGCTCCACGATTAAAACAGGCGGCACAGCTGAGTGGCAATACGAAGATCGAGGTATTGGCGCTTCCGGTTGAATCCGATGACGGTTCGTCTTCTTCGTCTCCGTTGTCGTACGTGGCGGTTAAGGGGGAGTGCGAGCGAGCCTTAACTGCACTCCGACGTGGCAACCATACCAAAGCCCTCCGGTTGATGAAAGATTCGTGCGTTCGTTACGAGAAATCGGTTCACGCGGCACTAATCCAACGCGTTCAGAGCACGGTTTGCGTGAAAGTGGCCTCCATCATCGATGACCATCACGCCAAGCAGCGGCATTTGAAGAACGCGATCGATTCGGCTAAAAAGGCTGCGGAATTATCTCCGAACTCGATTGAATTTGCTCATTTTTATGCTAATTTACTGTACGAATCGGCCAACGATGCAAAAGAGTATGAAGAAGTGATTCGCGAATGCGAACGCGCATTGGCCATTGAGAATCCGGTGGATCCTGCCAAAGAAAGCTTACAAGAAGAGAGTCAACAGAAAATACCAACCGCGGAGGCAAGAATTTTGCACGTACAAAGCGAGCTTAGGGCGTTGATACAGAAATCTAATATTGCTTCCCTTTCTACTTGGATGAAGAATTTAGGGAGCGGAGATGGGAAGTTTAGTCTCATTCCTGTTAGGAAAGTAAAGGAGGATCCCATGGAGGTTAGGTTAGTACAAGCGAGAAGACCAAATGAGATTAGGAAAGCTGCAAAGACGCCAGAAGAAAGAAGGAAAGAGATAGAGGTTAGAGTTGCTGCTGCTAGGTTGTTGCAGCAGCAGAAATCTGACGCAGCCCCTTCTTCTCCACTTTTGCAGAGAGAGGGAGAGAGGATTGGATTGGAATTGGCTTCTGGAGGTGGACAAAGAGGAGGAGCAGATAGGAGGAGAAAGTGTGGCTCTACATCTGAAAGGAGAGATTGGGTTCAATCATTTTGGAATTCAATGAGTGTTGACTCGAAGAAAGATTTGTTTAGGATTAGGGTTAGTGATCTCAAAGCATATTTTGGTCTGTCGAAAGATGGATTGGCTAGTGAGGTCTTATCGGAGGCTTTGGCATTTGCCGTGGCTAATAAGACTTGGAAGTTCTGGGTTTGTTGTAGGTGTAGTCAGAAGTTTGTGGATTCAGAGTTTCATATGCAGCATGTTGTTCAGGAACATATGGGGAACCTAATCCCTAAAATGCAGAATGTTTTGCCACAGAGTGTTGATAATGATTGGATAGAGATGCTCCTTAACTGTTCTTGGTATCCCCTGGATATTTCTGCTGCAGTTAAAATGATAGGTAACCGGTCTAAATTTGGTGATTTTGAGTTTTCTGGCGATTTTTATTCAGAGAGAAACCATGGTGAGGAGATTGATGGTTGCCTCAAAGATGTGAATGGCTCTCCTCTTGAGAAGGAAAAGTTTAGGGATTCCTACAATTGTGGAAGTGCTGAGGGCAATGATTGTGACAAAATTCATGGCATTGAATGCAAAGAATGTGATGGAAATCAGGGTTCAATAGCTTGTCACCTTGTGTATGGTGGGCCAATAGTGGATGATGCTGAGCGTGCAAAGTTGCTTGAAAGAATCCGTGCTACATTTGAACTGCTTATTAGACACAACTACCTTGCTGCTGACCATCTTAACAAGGTGATACAATTCACTATGGATGAGTTGCAGAGTATGGTACCTGATTCTCAGCTTCTGAATTATGGTGTAGATCAAAGTCCCATGTGCATTCGTTTTTTGGGAGCTACACAACTTAGAAAAATCCTCAAATTATTGCAGGATATATCTTATTCTTGTGGTATTGCTAGATATTCCGAGACGAATGCTCCTATGGATGATGTGAATGGTGCCACTAAGGTTCTTGAAGTTAAAGAGAAGATTAGTCTCAGTGCAGATGCTTCATGTCTCCTCCTGGATGATCATTTATTGCCTGATGCAGCAATAGAAGATGCTAGTCAGGGAAATGCTAATGTTAGCAATGGAAACAGAGTTATACAAGATGCCAATGCTCTACTGTCCTGGATTTTTGTTAGCCCTTCACGTGGGGAGCAATTAGCATTGTGGACACGCATGAAAGAAGAGAAAACACAGCAAGGACTTGAAATTCTCCAGATGCTGGAGAAGGAGTTTTATCACCTGCAGAGTCTTTGTGAAAGAAAATGTGAGCATATAAGCTACAGGGAAGCAGTGCAGGCTGTGGAGGATCTCTGTCTTGAAGAAGGTAAGAAGAGGGAGAGTTCCAGTGAATTTGTTCATCGAAGCTATGAGCCTGTCCTTAGGAAGCGAAAAGAAGAACTTGAGAATGAAAGTGATGTTATGTTCCTCAGCGCTAGATTTGAGTTGGATATTATATCTAATGTTTTAAAAGAAGTAGAAGAACTGAATGTCAATCAATTTAGCTATGTGGATACTTATGATGGTGTGACGTCTCAGTTATGTGACTTGGAATCTGGCGAAGATGATGACTGGGGATCTAAGGATTATCTCCATCAAGTGGACACCTGCATAGAGGTTGGCCTTAAGAGACGAAAGGAACAATTATCAGTAGAGGTCTTTTACTTTACGTGAAACTTCTAAATAAATAATTGATTCTTAACTTGCCATTCTTAACTGGATTAATTTTGTAATGCAGCTTAGCAAATTGGATGCAAGAATTATGCGAAATGTTATTGGGATGCAGCAGTTGGAAGTCAAACTTGAACCTGTGTCTGCACATGATTATCGATCAATATTATTGCCTTTAGTGAAATCATACTTGAGGGTATGTCATAAACTAGTTGGTTTTTTGCGGTGTTATATTTATCCTTGACAAAATGTATATATCTTGATCTTGCTACTTATTTTTTTCTATTAATTATTTTTAAATTTAGGTACACTTGGAGGATCTGGCCGAGAAAGATGCCACTGAGAAGTCTGATGCTGCAAGAGAAGCTTTTTTAGCAGAGCTTGCACGTGACTCTAAGAAGGGTATTCGTGGGGGAAATGATAATTCCAGAAATTCACATGACAAAAACAAGGATAAGAAAAAGAACAAAGAGTTCCGAAAATCCAAGGATTCAAAGGTATGCTTTACATTTTTCCCTAATAATTCAGCTGTTAGTTACCTAAGGTAATATTCTATTGTGAAGGTCTAATGCTTTCTTACTGTTTCAGGCTTCTGGTGGAAATGAGCTGCATATACTTAATACCGAGACTGCAGAGCAAGTGTATATTTTCCTCCTGCTCTGAATTTGCAGTCTTATTTATGATTTCGAAGTTTTCTGGCTTCACATAACTGTCATTGATTGTTTTTTATGTAGACTATTGTTAATATGTATTTTCATTCGTGTTTTTTTTGTAGTTTGGCAGTTGTTTCTGATGGAGATCGTCTAGGTTCTGAAGTTTCTCTGAATAGTAATGCCTTGAAACAACAAGAAGAGGATTTGAGACGAAAAATCAAGCTTGAAGCAGAGGAAAGAAAACTTGAGGAGACTTTGGAGTATCAAAGACGGATTGAGAATGAGGCTAAACAGAAGCAACTTGCCGAGCAAAATAAAAAAACTAATCAAGCAAATTCAAAGAATGCTGCACATAGTTTGCATGGTGCTTACTTGGAAACTTGTGATCTAGATATTAAGGTAAGCACTATTCTTTTAACATGATGAGATGGGAGTTGGTCCATGCTGTTACGAGTTATTTTGAGATGTTCTTTATGCTTTTCTTTTTAAAGGAACTATAATAAGATATTTGGAAAATCATATGATTATAAACTTTCGTTTCAGGAACATTCGGCACCAAGGGACAGGGTTGCAAACAATTGGGATAGTATACCGATGAGCAATGCGAATGGTTCAGCTGTGCCAGTAACTGATAATAAATTTAGTCAAGGTTAGTAATATAGCAGGGTTTGTGAGTGGGGCTAATCATCATTATTGAACTTGGTAGATCTCATCTTTTTCATATTATGTAGGACTACCTAATGGTGCAGTCTTAGAGGATGGTTCTAGTGAACAATGGACAGGAAGAAAGGTTAGACGACATAAGAGTGCCAACAGATTTCTTGATGGAAAATCTCAGGTAGTGTCATATGAGAAGGAAAGCATTCAAGTTGGAAGTTCTCATGTCCATGTAGAAGAGCAAGTTAGATATCTCGATGTTCCCACCAACAGTGGTAAAGTTAACTTTGTGCTTGTAGTATCTTACTTTGTGCTTTGCTGTGCTAGAATGCTTTTACATTTTATGTGCTATAATTTTATATTAGAGTTGGCAAATGGTTCTATGGTAATTGAAAGAGGGTTCCTATTTAAACTGTCGTAGAAGTAGGTTGTGCTTCCTTTCTCACTTCATTTATGGTGACAGGGAAAAAAAGGAGAGAATTAATTTACCTCCTATATGACTTCTATATTGGTTTCTTAAAAGTAGAAGCAGAACTGGATTTTCATGATAATGTCTTGATGTTGAACTGCTCTGTCTGCTCATTTTATCTAGCATATTTATGTGTTTACTGGAGCCTTATCTTTCAGTAATATGATACTTGATTCTTGTCTAATACTCTAATTTATGCTCATGAAAAATTTCACATCCAAGAAATTGCCATGGCATGTCAAATTATTATTGAAAAGTAAACGGGACATCATTTAATTGCTTTCTTTATTGTTGCAGTAATGTCGTGTTACCTGCCACAATGTCATATCGAAGCAAAAGATATTTTGATACTGCATACATGTGGTTTAACCGATATAGCTTGAGCTGGAACCTTTTTAATTTATTGGATATCGTTATCAGGTTTACATGAATGTGCTCATGTTGTCTGATTTATTCTTCATCTGGTATTGGTTTTATTTCTGAGTTTCTCTTTTGATGTCAGATTGCATGAGTGTACTATGTACTTATTATAGTAAGTTGTTTTCAGATTTCTTATCATATTATAGAAACTAAGTTGACATGGGTACTTTGTGAAACCAGTTGCTCCTATCTCTGGAGAAAGTGATAAAAAGACTTTAAGACCACTGCAAGCTAAGGAAGATGATGAAGAAAGGTTCCAAGCTGATCTTAAGAAGGCAGTTCGCCAAAGCCTTGGTAATGTTCTTACTGCATATAGTTATACATGCTTCTTATTGGCTATGCTACTCTTTCAAGCATTATGTTTGGCATTGGGTGTCTTGATACAAACCAATTGTACCTTTTGAAAATAAATGAACTATTGTAGTGTATGTCGGATGATTTTTCGTGAGCAACCATCTTCTGAGTAGCATCTTATGAAAATACTTTTAAATGATTTCACCTATGAATTTTTTTAGTGGAAAAAAAGATTTTGGTTTCATCTATTTAAGGAATATTTTGCAACATTATGTACTGCTCTTCTGACTATCCTGTCAAAAGTTCTTTTGCTGCATATTTGTTACAAGGGCGTCTATCTGATTGTCTAATGGACAAAAATTTTGGATGATGAACTCTGTCTAGATATGCATCAATATTTAACTAGGTGGTTCTGATTCAACTATTGTGTTGTATATCAGTGTTTTTGGTAGTCTATTGCATAGTTGCATGTATATTTTCACATTGATGCTTCAATACGTGTTGCAACAAGTTTATATATATGAATTGGACTCGTATAGGTTTTGATTAAAGTTGCAGCTTTGTCATTGCATATTAATTTCTGCAGTTTTTATATTAAGTTCTATAGTATTCTTCTTTAGGATTTATTGCAGCTTGCTGGGAAACCTGCAAATTATTTATGTATGTACTTGGTGTTAAGTTTGTTGTTTTCTGTTGCATTGAAATAGCTTGTCTACTTCAGCAGCGTTTTAACCTGGTATTTATCTTATTTTTCAGATACTTACCAAGCACAAAGAGCACCTTTGCAAGTGAACAACCATGGTGTTTCACCAAATGACGTCACCAATGAAGGTTTGAATGAAATTGATGTCTTTGGTACTGGCCTCCAGAATGAAGTTGGTGAATACAATTGCTTTCTGAATGTTATAATACAGGTTGGTTTTTTAATGATGGTCTCTTTTGGCCTACAGTTGAACTCAGCTATATATGTAATCTTGTCTTGCTAACTAGCTTGCTCTTGGTATAACCTCAGTCGTTGTGGCACTTGAGACAGTTCTGTGATGAATTCTTGCGGAGATCGACATCAGAACATGTTCATGTGGGAGATCCATGTGTTGTTTGTGCACTATATGAGATTTTCATTGCTCTGAATACTGCATCTAGTGATGCACGGAAAGAACCAGTTTCCCCTACATCACTGAGAATAGCTCTTTGCAACTTGTATCCAGATAGTAACTTTTTCCAAGAGGTAGGTTCAGTTCAATTTGGCTTTTTGAAAGAGGATACTCTTGAAACTGACAAGGAAAAAGGGAAATGAGTTTTGACATAAGTAGTGACAATTACAGGCTCAGATGAATGATGCTTCCGAAGTATTGGCTGTAATATTTGATTGCCTTCATCGGTCTTTTACTTCTGGTTCAAGTGTTTGTGATACTGATTCTGTGGACAGCAACTGTGCGGGCTCTTGGGATTGTGCAAGCAATGCTTGTATAGTTCATTCCCTCTTTGGAATGGATGTCTTTGAACGCATGAACTGCTACAATTGTGGTCTGGAATCCAGACGTTTGAAATACACTACTTTCTTTCATAATATAAATGCCAGTGCACTGCGAACAATGAAGGTATCATCCTTTTCAAATTATCATAGTTGAATAATTCCTGTTGAACAATTTTAGTTGGTTCTTCCTAACAAGCTTTGGTTTGTCATTCAGGCTATGTGTGCTGAAAGTTCCTTTGATGAGCTTTTAAATTTTGTGGAGATGAACCATCAGTTAGCTTGTGATCCAGAGGCTGGTGGCTGTGGGAAGCTCAACTATATTCACCACATTCTTTCAAATTCACCACATGTTTTCGCAACAGGTTGTTCTTGGAGTTTTAAATGGATTTATACTTAGTCATGTGGTTTATATATTTATAAAATCATTGTCATTTTTGATCTTGCAGTTCTTGGTTGGCAGAATACCTGTGAAAGTGCTGATAACATAGCTGCAACGCTGGCTGCCTTGAGCACTGAAATAGATATTGCGGTCCTTTATCGTGGTCTAGATCCGAAAAATAAGCATAATCTAGTCTCAGTGGTACTTATGTTCATTCTCTCTCTCTCTTCCCCTCTCTTTCTATTTCTATTTGAGTTTTACGCTTTTACTTTCAATACATGATCTAATATGCAGAAAGGCGTGATATTTGAACTTTGTTTCTAAGGTTTGATTTTGTTCCACTTTTCATATTTCTTCTGAAACTCTCAGGTTTGCTATTATGGTCAACACTATCACTGTTTTGCCTATAGTCATGATCATGAAAGGTGGATTATGTATGATGACAAAATTGTCAAGGTAAGTTTGTGTTCTTGCATGGAGTATGCCATCCAGTGTATTCTGTTGTTTCCGGTGTTACAATTTGATTTTTGATGTCCAGGTAATCGGTAACTGGGCCGATGTTGTTACTATGTGTGAGCAGGGGCACTTGCAACCACAGGTTTTATTCTTTGAAGCTGTACATTAAAAAGTTTTGGATGAATCTTGTCACATGATTTGATACACCAAATAGCATTGAACTTCTTATCATGGGTTTGGAATCTGATTGCTGTTGGTGGTAAGATGTTGTCTATAGTGGCATTGGAGCTTCCTCCCATGCAGTTTATACCGTGTAAACATGCAAAATCGGTTCCAAAGTTTGTGAAGTTTTGGTATGTTACAAAATGCAGAATTGTGATATAAACAAAGAGTTTCAGGATAAAAGTTGTTAGTGATGGAACAAATAGATTTTCTTGAAAAGGAAATCAGACAAACGGAAGATCACGAAGCTAGTTCTGATTTTCTTTTTTATACTTGTGCCTCCAGATACATTTTCTTTCTCAAGAAGGGTCTTGGCTTTGATACAGTTATATGAGATGAATGGCATTTTGATGGAGCAAATTAGTATGTACTGTGTACAAAGATGAATGCCCAGTTTTTAGGAGGATTTATGAGTTGTTATTGAGGGGGAAGTGGTAAGTTATTAGATTAAAAAAGAAGAAGAGCGGTAGAGTTAGATGGGTTCCATACAAAGATTACACCCCCCAACAGTTGAAAGATGGGTTTTGTATAGATCAACCTCAGTCCTCAATGCTCCTAGGATCTTTCATTCAACTATTGATGGATGATATGGTCAAATTTTATTGTCATCCCGATGTTAATGCTGACGGGGTTACATTACATTACATGGTGAATTTTTATTAATTTCTGTCGTCATTAGGAGCTAACATCTCTCTCTCTCTCAAATCCGAGTATTTTCCGTGCAGTAGTCTTTTTGCACTTGTGTTGATGCAGATTACAAGTACTTGATATATAAATCTGCAGTAACGGAAACTAGCATAGGCTGGTTCAGTTCTAGTCCTTGTGACAACGATGGTAATCCTGTACTTCCGTGTTTTCATGTGTCATAATCTTGTTTAAATTAGATCATCTATATAGATTTTGACACATCCATTTTTTCATGTTATTTATTTTCTTCATGGTGTTGTGTTTTGTGTTATGTTTCAGTTATAATCGTCTCATGTTCATGGCATGTAATCATATCATGTACAGAGTTTTCAATTTAGTTAGCAAAAAGTTTTGTGATCGTCTGTCAAATAAAAATGGTTGGATGGACTTGGGGCATGGTTGCGTTGTTTAATTGTCCATTGGCAGCTGTCTTTATTGCAAAGAATTGGTATCCATCCCTTCTTGATGGATGGTTGTCCAAGATTTTTATTAATATTTTAACATTTTCAAGAAAGAGGAAAACAAATCCTTCTCGTGTTATTTTTTACATTAATTTGTATTTAACAAAGTTTCCATATTGATTCATTTTTTTTCAAAAAAAAAAAAAAGCGCCCATGACTTTTTGATTCATTTTATATTCTGATTGATTTGTTAGTGATTCAATGTAGAGAAACTTTTATATCTACTTACAGTTCATGTAAATTTTTTTTCATATTCGAAGTAATCATTAATATATGAAGTGGATTCTAATACGTTTATATTCATATTTTTTTTAAGTCGTCACGTCAATTGCTGTCTACTCCTGATGCCATTCAAATGTGAATTTGAATAAGCTGATGTAAAGCTGGCAAGCAAGGTTGAATTAATTTGCATTTTCATGGAGATTGAATTGTTTAGTTGATGGTAATGCTTCTTAGTTTTAGAAGTGTATATTGAACTGATAGATCTTTGACGAGAAGACTCCACTACTGAATATTATGGACGGAAAACTCCACTACAAGTATTGCATTTGGCAATAGATTAAAAAAAATGTTAAAAAATTAGAACCTCATTGGTTTCTTCTAATTTTGGTTTACGAAATCCAGTCATATCCTTCGTCAATGTATCCGTCTATAATCAAGAAGTCAATAAAAACCAAGATACAGAAGAAGATTCCTTACCTGGCCTACAAAAACACAATCACGATCATTGTTCAATCTCTTTTTGCTTTATGCCTTACCTTAAGTTAACTTCGAATTATTTTTGCACTAAATACGACACTCAAATTTAAAAAAAGAGTCCAATGTTGCCCTTGATTAATAGTTTTTGTCGTTGATTGTTACGATGCTGATGTGGTACTTCAGTATTGACTAGGTAGTCCAAGATGGCTAGTGACTTGGTTGCGATGTTGTAGACAGGTTAAATTGGTTTTTTGGTTGAGTTTGAAGGTTAAATCGATTCTTTTTGAAAGTTTAAGGGTTTATTTGATTTTTTTATAAAAATGAAAATATTTTAAATTTAAAAATAAAAATATTCCAAAAATTAAATTATTAAAAAATAAAAATAATTTTATTATTATGATTATTAGTTTATCTTGAATTTAACATGACTTTTATTTTAAATCTAAACTCGTTCACCATGTATAAATTTTATTTTATATATTTACTTTTATTATCTTAAATTCCAAATCTCTATCTAATTTTATTTCACTATTTTTTTTTTATAAAATTGAATTAAATAAATATTATAAAATTTCAAAAATAATAAAATTTAAAAATTATGAAATTAATTTTACTTATATATATATATATATATATATATATATATATATATATATATATATTATCATGAATATATGGGTTAGAATTCAATTACACTGTGTAAAACTCTTCTAGTTTTACACCTTTTTAGGATCATTAGATTGAGGGAAATTAAAAGTTGAGATTAACTCTTTTTTTCCAGTAAAAATCTTCTCTTTTTTTACTGTTAATTTCAGCATCTAATTTATCTCATTTAATGATCTTAAAAAGGTATAAAACTAAAAGAGTTTTACATAGTGTAATTGGATCATGCATATATATATATATATATATATAAGAGGAGTATTTTAGTGAACATAACATGATAAAAGACAATAAATTTCACCTAAATTTGATCTAAAAACCCGACTTACCTCGTCAATTTCTGTTAGATATAATTTTATAGTCAAGGTGAACATGGACTCCATGTGCTGTCACCATCAATTTTTTTTTAATTTTTTCAAGGGATGGCAAATTTGTCTCTACAAAATAAAAATGAGATACAACTCACATTAGAATTTATTTGTATGAATATAACAATATAATCATACTACCGAATAATATTAAACTCTAACTAATGGAGTGACATCGTTGTAAAAGAATTGTTATTATTCATTGAAGTCTCGAGTTTGAGTTTAAACATATATTATGTAACACCCCTTTTTCTCGTATTCTTCATCAAACACGATTCAAAGATGTCACATAATACTTACTTTTCTAGATTCCGTAAAAAAGTTATTTCTATAACATGACAATTCAATACTATTTCTATAAATGATGCTTTTAAGGGGTCTGTTGATGTCCAGTTGATGTGAATTTTGGACTGGAGATCACTCTTAGGATAAATAATTTACTTGTAAAAAATCAGTTCCAAACTTCTCCGTTTTCTTTTTTTTTATTCAAAATTTTCTCTTTTATTGTTGTTGCCTTTTTTTTGTCTTTTTTTTATTTTTCTTTTCTTTTTGATGTAAAACAACAAACTAACGAGAAGGAATTGAAAAAAAATTAAAATAATGCAAAAAGAACTTAAAATCGATCAATCGTTTTGAACTAGCTCCGTAGAATACATTGGTGATTTATGCATGCAAAAACAAGCAAGATTTCTTGATTCTCTCAAAGAACGATCCAAATTTGATACTAATTGATAGGAGATGTAGCATAGGAATGAACGAGGATAGTTTAGTGGAGAACGTGGCGTGAATGATGTTGTATGATGATGATGATGGTCAATGGATAGTTGTCCTACGAACCCTCTTAATCACAATGAAAAAACAAATCAGAGTATGAAGATCTTCCTCACGAAGAACTTGATGATGAAGAAACTTCGAAGGTACAAGACAATCAACACTTGTAAAAATAAACTTTTGTTTTATTATATTCAAGAAGTGTGATTACAATGGCGGGTGGAGCCTCCTTTATATAGGGCGATGAATTCCAAAATCCTAAGTAACGAATGAATAAAATAATAATAAACTAAACATATTTTGATTCTAATTCCTAATAAAATAATAAATATTATCCTAAACAATAGTGCATCATCCTATATTAAATTATATTATAAATAATCAATAAAATATTAAAAATTTGTAATAAATCTCATATTAATCACGCATAGAAATTTTTGCATTCACTGTCTTCACCTAAAATAGAATTATCTTGAGTTCCCGATATTGTATTGATGCGTTTTAGGTACCGTTGGAAAGATAAGAGACAATCGATCATATCTCCATAAGACATGTTAACCAAATAATTCCTGGATCTCATTCAAAAAGTCATCGCAAGTAATGATGATGTTATGCTTTTTTTTCCAAGGCATGGACATGTGGATCAATTGGAATAGTTAGGTTATCTTCCATTGATGTGAGCCTTGTGGTGCATGTATCAAATTTTCATTAATAGTGCTACAGGGACTTGTTTTAAACCTCATTGGGGGCTTCAACAGGGTGATCATCATTCTTTCGCCAAGCATCCCCTTTAGCTGAGTTTATGGAGTTTGAGTCAATAGATATGCCCCTTTATTTTATCACCTTTTATTTGTCGATGATTGCCTCATTTTCAGCAAGGCAAACGCTCGTGTGATTGTTCAAATTAAGGCAATACTGACTCTTTATGATGATAGTTCAAGGCAAGCTATAAACTTTGACAAATCAAATATCTTTTTTTCAATTCGAATGTCATAGATGAGAACAGGAGAGATGTCAGACGTATTCTTGTGGTTACGAATGAAAAAAAAAATCTAGAGAGGTATTTAGGTCCTCCAGGGATTGTAGGTCAAAATAAAAAAAGATATTTTGCCCACATGATTGATAAATTTTGAAGCCAGATATGAAATTTGTGTTCGTATACTTTTCCAAGGTGGTAAAGAGGTCACCATCAAAACTATCTTTCGAAGGCCTCTACTCAGAGTTTGAGTGTATAATGGTCCAATTTTGGTGGCTGAAGTCTGTAAGCAAACAAGGCATTCATTGGTGTTCAAGGGGATCTTTGTGTCTTCTGAAAGAAAATGGTGGACTTGGTTTTAGAGACATGGTAAAGTTTAATGTTGCGCTCCTAGATAAATAAGGGTGTCATCTCCTTATTAATCCATCATCGTTTGTAGGATGGTTATTGCAAGCGAAATATTATCCATCTGTGAACTTCTTAAGTTCTAGTTTGGGTTCATCACCCTCTTACATTTAGAGGAGTATATGGAGTGCAAAGAGTGTGTTACAAAGTGGATTGAGATAGAAGGTGAGGACGGGAACTTTCATTTCTGTCGTAACCGGTTTTCGTCCGGGCACGAAATTTTTACTCGGCGGGAAAAGTGATGTGAATAAATGGTTTTTTAAAATAATTTGGGAGTCGCCATCGGCCTTTTGGGTTAGGTAGGTCGAATACCTAGAAATTATCTTTTAAAAGATTTTAAGAAAACATCAGTTAAAAGATGAACTAATCTGCGTTTATAACCAAAAATTCGTTCTTTTTAATAATAAAAAGGGATTCGTGGTTGGTTACGTTTAGGGAAGGATTAGCACCCCTACAACGCCCAAAATTGGTACTTTTTTAATTATAAATTGTCTCTATTATTGAAAATTTAAAAATTTAAAAATATATTTAATTATTAATCATGTTATTTCAAATAATTTTAAGAAAATATATTAATATGTATAAATAAGATATTTATTTATTTTTAAGACAGCTCTTTTCTTAAATATTAAAAAATAAAATAAATAACTA